CCCCACCCCTCCTACCCCCGCACCACTCCTGGTGCCTTATTTTCTTTCAATTTAGTTTTACGATGTTGAACAAACAACTAATAACTACTTATTTTCTCCAGATTTTGAGTTAGTATTTCAGAATAATGCCCTAATTTTTCAAGAGCCTCACTTTATATTTAGTACGTCATTTATTTGTGTATTACATACGTTAGAATCTTATTAGTACAGTACCGTTGACATGTGGAAAAAAGGATATGCCCAAATATGGGCGTGTCGATGACGTCACAATGGGTCGTATGAGGGTATGTGTATGACGTCTATTAAAGAAGAAATCACTTTCAGATTTTCACTCGATCAGTGAAGCTGTTGGAAACTATTCTTTGCATACTTTTGTATTCTTTGCATACTTTTTTTGACAAAATAGTTTTCGCTTGTTGACATTACTGAGGTGTAGTAATCATGAAGGAGGAGAACTACCAGAAGAAGAGTAAAAGAACCTTCGTACTGGAGGAACAACAGGTTCTACAGCCAATGGTGGTGAGACTGGAACCCTGTGATGTTACTCTTCATAGAAAGCGCAGTGATTCTTTTCTGCCAGATATCTGGAAAAAAGAACAACAGACAGTGAAGAAGCCTCAGAGGAACCCAAGGCCCAGAGCACCCACCAAGTTTCCACCACTGCCTGTGCAGACTGTCAGTGGAAACCGAGGCACCGCCATCAGCAGTGAACCTCCTGCAGAACCCAATCTGCTGAGGGTCATGGGTGCAGCAGTCAAGATGTCAAGAACAACCCAGCAAATCTATGTGACTGCTGGAAGAAGGACGCTGCTCGAACCCTTGATGCCTCACTGTGCTGACAAAATGCCTGAACAGGGCAACGGGAGTGAAAATGTTGCAGCAAAATAAAGACACTGGCTGTGCTGTGACTGGAGGGATTCAAACCTCTGTTGAACATCCACACACTCGGCCGACCCCACCTGCTGGTCCAAAACCTCAGAGGCTCGTGTCAAAGAGGAGACGTGGAGCCGTTCTGAAACCTCGTGAGAAGGCAGTGCTGGGGCGTGAAAATGAGAAGAACACTGAGCTTAAACAGGACAGCCCAGCAGAGACAGCTGAGACTCAGACTGAACAACAAAAAGAGGTGCAGAGCAAAGAACAAGAACAGGAGATACATGAGCACGTTGAGGCCTCCTCTCAGGATGATGACAGTGCTCGTGAACCTGATGTTGCTCCCTCTGTAACTGAGCAGGAAGTTCCTGTGGTCCATCTGCGCCGGAGAAGGAGATCTAGGAGGACAATAGCAGAGCTCTGTGGGACACTTGGCGTCAACCTGGACTTTTTTCAAACAAAAATGCCCCGTCTGCGTGTGTCCATCTCCCCAGGCCTGCCTGAGGTAGAGGAGGACAAAGAAAGAAGCTGAGAAGACTTTAAGGCTAGAGATCATCATCTACACTGACCTTTAAGACAACGAAAGCCAAAGACCCCACCTTCCATCATGATGCCTAACAACTACAGACCAGCAGGAAAATGCCAGCAAAAGAGAAAAATAAATAAATAAAAGCATTATATCTTGGCGTCTTGGTTGTGTTTAATAGGTTAAGAATTATTATTATGTTCATTATGATGGTTCTGATTTCTGTCTTGAAATAGGTTTGTGCAGTTTGTTGAACTGAATATTAGAGTGCTATAGATCAACAATACAGACTATTAAAAATGTAAAAAGCTTTAAAAGTATTGTCGGGGTCAAAAATACTTAATTGAACTTGGTTATATACCTTGTTATATGGTGATATTGAAATTTAGTATTGTAATCTTACTCAATTACATTTCAAAGAGAAAAACACTTTAAAATGGAAAAGCCAACTCACTGTTCATCATTGTCTTCTTATTATTATCACTCTGGACTCAAATTAAAATACCCATCCATATCTGAACAACACACACACTGCTTTAATGTACACATTCAGCACACACACATTCAACATATGCTTCTGGATGAGTAAATTTGTGTGTTAGAGAGTGAGTGTGTGTGAGGGAGTGGGAGTTATTTGAGTATCAGTGAGTTATTGAGTGAGTGAGTTAGTGAGTAAACGTGTGAGTCAGTCATTAAATGTGTCAGTTAGTAAGTGCTTACATGAATGAGTAAATTAGTGAATGTGTGAATGAAAGTGAGTGTTTCAGTGAACGAGCCAATTAGTACAAGTGAGTGTTTAAGTGAACGAGTGAGGGAGTGAGTGAGTGAGTGACAAAAACGAGGGTTTAAGTGAGTGAGTGAGTGAGAGATTGACTTTGTGAGTGTTTGAAAGAGTGTGGGTTTGTGGAAGTGTGTGAGTGAGAGAGTGAATGTGAGTGTGTGTGCATGTTGAAGTGAATGACTGAATTGGTGAGTGTACGAGAGTGAGTGTTTGAGTGAATGAGTGAACTGATGAGTGTGAGTGAGCATGTGAATGAATGAGTGTGATTGGAAGTGAGTGAATGAGTAAAGGTTTGAGTGTACGTGGTTTGAGTCTGACTGTATGAGCGTGAGTGAGCGAGTGAGCAAATACGTATGTGAGTGAACGGGAGAGTGTGTGCCGACAGGTAGAACAGTGGTCACCAACCCTCCTCCTGCAGATCTTCTTTCCTGCAAAGTTTAGTTCCAACCTGCATCTCACATGCTGACTAAAATAAATAGAATAATGTTCACAAAACCTTAAAACATGTCCATTATTATTGTAGTATCATGAATAAGAGTGTGAGAGTGAGTGATATAGTACACATTCCTAACTCTTTCGTTATTATCTCTCCATCGTTAGTCTGTCTGAGTCTGTTAAAAGTGAAAACATATAGCGTTTGTGAACACTCCCTTTGTTTTACCGTCATTCGTTAAATGAGAAGCCGCGAATAAGACGCTGTGAATAAGGAGCCAAATGAATCCAAAGCTGCGAATAAGTAACTAACTAGTTTCCTGTTTGGTTGACACCAGAGAACTTTAGTGAGGAAAATCACCACTCTGTGATCTGTAATATCTTCAGGGTTTTTCAAACACTAGAGGGCGCTCCAAAGCGAGTCCAAAATGAATGGGTTAAGATGGAGTATTTGAGCAAAATCATAGTTTATAAATGCTTATACAGTTTTAAACGAACAGTCATTTGCTGAATACAGAACAGCATAAAACATTTTGACATCGATGTTATATTTTTAAGAGCTTAACTCTAGTTAATAGGGTTTAAAACGGCCCCTCATGTACGTGCATGACGTCATTGAGCAGGAACAGCCAATGAGCTGCTCCACTCGCCAACCAATCAGCACTCAGTAGCAGTATAGCATTCTGCTGCCCAAAACCAGTTTGCTATAGAAAAAAGGAAACATACAGGTAAGTTTTCTTTGCTAATTTAGTGAAATACGTCCTTCTACTTTCTAAAATTAAAGGAAAGTACTGGGCGAGTAATTTGCAGCCCTGTTTTTGATGTAACGGGTGAAATAGAGCCAGAGCCCTGTACATGGCTCCGTTAGGAAGTGGCCAGGCCAGAGCCGATTTATGAGGAGCCTGGCCACTTCCTGTTCCCACCGTTATATCAAAAACTGGACTGCCAAACAGCAGAGGGCGCCCGCGAGTGAGTCCTCAATGAATGGGAGTGAATGGCGCTCAACAGCTAAAAACGAGAAGTTGAAATAGTTTCTAATCACTTTCCCAGAATGTTTCTTTAATTTTAGAAAGTAGAAGGATGTATTTCACTAAAAAAACAAAGAAAACTCACCTATCTGTTTCCCTTTTTCTACAGTAAACGGGTTTTAGGCAGCAGGAGGCGGGCATTACTGCTAGAGCGTGATGATTGATTGGCGAGCGGAGCAGCTCATTGGCTGTTCGCGCTCACTGACGTCATGAACATACATGAGGTGCCGTTTTAAACTTCTATAGCTCGAGTTTAAAAGCTCTTAAAAATATGACAGCGGTGTTAAAATGTATCATGTTGTTCAGTGTTCAGGAAATGATTGCATTGTTTTACATTAAAAAATGTTTAAGCTTTTATAAACTATGATTTTGATCAAATGCTCCATATCAACCCATTCATTTTGGACTCACTCGGGAGCGCCCTCTAGCGTCTGAAAAACCCGGAAGACATTGCAGAGTGGGAATTCTTATTTCTGCAAGTTCTCTGGCCAGGCTTCCCATAAACCAGCTCTGGTTGACACCTATGCCTGCCATCTGCTGGTAAAGAGCTCGAACTACACCTGTGCGTCCATGTTTATATTCCGTGTAGCAACGCGCTAAAGTTGGTCACGTCTCTGGTGAGCAATTTCACGACCTAGTTGAATGAATGTGCCCCGTTTCATTTCCTTGGCAGTAAGTGACGCTTAAATGGACGGTCAACATAGAGGCAGGGGAAAAAGAGGAAGAGGAGGTCGAGGAAACCGAGGCGAGGTGGGCGAACCACGCGCTGCTTCTATGTATAGTTACTTCTCGAATCGTGTTTAGTGTTTGTGGTTCTCTATACTGAGTCTTTATGTCTCTCTTTTAGAGCAGAGATGTGCGCCTGTCAAAGTCACTGTCTTATGCTCTGAGACATGGCGCCTCTAAAATGGGGCTTCACATGAGTTCAGGTGTGCTCCTGATTTCCCATTCTTCTGTTATATGTTTTAGGAAGTCTATTATTGTTGAGTACTTTCTTTCTATGTTGTTGTAGATGGCTTTATATTTGTGGATGAACTTCTCGCTCATCAGCAGTTCAGCTCGTTTTCACTGGAGGATTTAGAGAGAGTGGTGGCCACGAATGACAAGCAGCGCTTCAAACTGCAGAACCACCCAGAGAACGGACGCCTGCAGATCCGGGCCAATCAGGGACATTCTGTACAGGTGCAGGACAACTGTAGTCTTAAACGTTGATTTAGTACTACAGAACTGCCAAAGATACCAGTCTGGGTTACCTGAACCCATGTTTAAACTAGGAGTGTAATGATATACATATCAGTTTTGACACAGTTTTTTATTCTTAGGACAAGATTCAATTAAATTTTCAATATTTTTGTGTTAAAAATGGCTTGATCCTTATAACGTGCTCATCCAACAAACTAGCTAGTATCTGAGGACATCTCTTTCAATATGTTATGAAGACGTGTCTACATACACTACCGCTGAACAGTTCAGAATCACTCTTATATTAATAATTGCTATTCAGTAATAACACATACAGTGTCGAATGAAACTGAAACTATATATAAAAACCTAAACCAATGCTTTACTCATAGTTTAAAGTATCAGGGGACAACATAGAGGACATGATTAAAAATGCTGCATGTTATTAAATAATAAACTATAGTTATCTGTTTATTGCAATTTCTTGGCACAAAAATACTGTGAGTAGCTGTTTAATTAGCTAGATTTGGTTATCAGTTTTCAAATATGAGGTTTTGTGGATGTCAGTGTCTTTATAAGTTTATTCTCAATGGATCATGAAATTACAGCTCTGTTTATCACTGAAAATGTCTTTATTTTTTACAGGTTCCTACAAACTGTTTGAAACCTGTAAGAAATTCGTTTAATTGTAGAATCATTGTGTGCACATATCTCCAAAAATTGGTTTTATTTGAATGAAATCAGTGATTCCAAACCTTTGAAATGTAGTGCATTCTACCCTGAGTTGGTTCAAACTGGGAAATGTTGGAAAATGTTTTCCAGGAAATTGGTGGGGTGATTAGCTTTAGGTACATTTCATTCATTCACACAGTAATTATGTTCTACACAGGACTGGTTTGGCCTGCTTGATGTGGATGAGGCCATATTGGCAGTGCAGTTTTAAAGTCAGTGTGAAATCGTAATGCATTTTCTTTTCATTCCATTCCATGACATCTCTCTGAGTGAAATGTTGAATCAGGGATGGTCTCTGAGATAGCTGAGCATTTTCTCTCGATGATAGGAGTGCGCAGAAGTAGAAGAAAGGTGAAACATGAGATTGATTAATGTTATTTTCCCTGCCTGCTGATGCACAATGCCATAATCAAAAATAAGAGGCTTTAGAGGCATAGATTACAGGAATAAAAGGATTTTCTCTTTTGAATTATATAAGAAGTTGTACTTAACGTAACCAGGAACATGAACTAACATCTTAATGTTGATTTCAGGCTGTATTTACTTTCAGATTTTTGTTTTAACACTGTTTCTTTATATTAATTTTTCAGATTCATCATTGTTTTGTCCTATCCATGTCCTACACTCTTAAAAAAGCTGTTTCTTCAAAGGTTCTTTAGTAAAGAAAATAGTTCTATAAAGAAACATGAACACTCAAAGAACCCCTTGCATGATTAAAGAGTTCTTTGCATTATAAAAAAAAAAATCTTCAGATTGATGGAGAATATGCGGTAGATGGTTCTGTATATAGAACCTTTTTGAAAAGAGTTCCATATAGCACCAAAAAGGGTTCTTCTATTGTTGCAAGCTTGACATCATCACAGTAGTAGAACCCTTTTCAAAAGGGTTGTATATAGAAGCATCTATAGCACATTCTTAAGAACCCCTTCATGATGCAAAGAACCCTTTAATCATGCAGAGAGTTCTTTGAGTGTTCGTTGTTCTTTATATAACCATTTTCTTTACTATAGAACCCTTGAGGAACCATTTTTTAGAGTGTGGCTGTCTGTGGAGGTTTGCAAAAGTTTTTTACTTTTCTTTTTTTTTTTAACTCTGATTCTGTAGTGACCTCATGTCGTGTTGCATGTTGTTCAGGTTGAAGATCTGGAGTTGAGAGCAGTAGAGCTGGAAGCTTCAGACTGTCCTCAGGAGGCAGTTCATGGCTCCTACATGAGGCACTGGGCCTCTATACGCAACAAGGGTCTGAGCAGAATGAACAGAACACACATACACTTGGCACCTGGGCTTCCTGGAGAGAGTCAAGTTATCAGTGGTAGGAGAGACAAAGATGATTAATTGATAAATTGATTCACTTTTGTTTTATTAATTAGATCTAGAGGCTGAGAGAGGGGAAAAGTGGAGTTTGGTGTAATCAATAAAAAAGATGCATGGAAGTTGTTGCAGAGTTGCAGTATGGAATTCTTGTACCTCTATGAACTGACAGTCCCTCCCATTTAATTTTCAAAATAATGGTTGAATTTCTTATATTTTAGTTTCATTTTTGTTTTGTATCAGACTTGTATATCATCATCATCTTTTGTGAAAGAAAATATCCTGTCTATTTTGCCAGGTATGCGTCAGAATTGTGATCTAGCTGTGTACATTGATGTCCCAAAAGCCCTCTCAGGTACAAATTAAAACTCTTTTAAAGCAACAGAAGCATGAGAGTACACTGAATTGCCGCAGCTGTGTGTTAGGATAAATATTTCTGTTTTTCGTTTTTTTTAAGATGGAATTAAATTCTACTGGTCAGAAAACGGAGTGTTATTAACGGCAGGTGATGCAGATGGTCTGTTGGCTCCTCAATATTTCTCTCGTGCACAGAGACTGAAACCATCACGTAAGTTTCTAATACAGTTCAGGCTCTTCCAGTACAATACAGTTCCAGTATAAACTTAGAGACAAGTCAGTCAATCACTTACTGTTTGTCTTTTTTTTACAGCATGTGAACTTGAACTGCAGTAGTCGATAGAAAAGATTTCTTGAAGGCTGAATCAAGACGGGACAACAAAACCATAAACTTTCTCAATAGGTGCCTTTCAGCAGTCAATGAAGTGGGAAGCCTGTGTATCTTTAAAGAGTTAAAAAGCATACTGTACTTAATGTCATGGCAACATGTTCACACCCAGTTACACAAAAGATATCAGAAAGGAGGCAGGCGCTGGCTGTGGTTTGGGCAACGGAAACCTGGATGATGTTGGACTGAGATAAGGAAATTTTCTGTGATAACGGAAGACACTACTGGTCAGTGTAACTCTTGCTGTGCAGGAAGTGATAGCCAGTGGTTTCCTTAACTGTCACTTGAATAAAATACAGCAACAAAGACTACTTCACTAAGGAAAGTGGTAGGAATTATAAAAGCAGTGTTCATGTCAGTTTTCATTATTTATTTGGAATTGCTCACATATTTTATTTTGATTTTAAAAATGGACAAGGGCTTCTAGAACAAGGAGTTTGCCTGGACTATGGCGTCGTATTCAGGTTTACATTAAAGGGAATTCTATCAGTTTTTCCAGAAGTTCTGTATCTATGTGAATTACTCGATTGTAGAGAAACTTATCGAGGCAGAATTGTTCACAGTGGTGGTGACAGGAACCAGACGACTGAAGAGTTTAATGCTTCTAAAAGCTATATCACAGAAAAGTATTACATGAAATAGTTATGAGTATGTTGTGTGATGCCTGAGACATTGTGTTACGATTGTTTTGGGAAAATGGCCTAAAACATATTTGGTAAATCAATTTGTGGTGGTATAGATGGTGGTATTGATGTAAATCAAAATATTGTCCAAAATAAAACCTATCTTTACAGATTTACCACCATTTTACCATTATCAGCATTACATGTAAACTTGTAGGTTCACTGGTCACTTTGGATAGTGAATAAAGTGCCTATATTTGCTTTGTTGACATTTTCGGTAAGTTTATTGGTAAGTTTCTCTAGAACTGAGCCTTTCTCATCAAACCACTCTGAATGACTTTGCATCTCAACCACTGAATTATGCAAAATGTTAAGGTAAACTTCCCCTTTAAGATGGCACAAACCTGTCAGTTGATGACAACCATTTGAATCCACAGATGGTTCTTTGCATGGTTAAGTGGTTCAGGTTCCTCTGTTCTTATAAGAACATTTTAACAATGGCTCTGTGCACCAAAAAGGGTTCTGTTAATGTTAAAGTCTTTGATTCCTTTGTGCTAAGAGTGATACATGAAGAAGTGATACATTAAAGCTGCATATTTTACTCCAAGGAGTGAAACATAAAATAATAAGTGTCACTGATGTCTTATACAAATGTCTGTTTAAAGGGTGCACTGACCAGAACTTTGTGGTAAAACCAAAAAATGACAGTGATGAACAATGTTTAAATCATGACTTGTAGGTCACAGGTCTTGAACAAACATCCCACCTGCACTGCAGCTCATCAACAAGGTTTCCAACCCCTTTCATCGAGCTGTAACAGCTTTTCATGGAAATCAGATAAAGCTCAATTAATAGGATAAAGCTAATGTAGTACTAGTACATTCAAAAATAACAGTAATCCTGCTGGTGGAGTTTCAATGCTCGTGACCCTCTGCTCTACGTGGGTGTCAGAGAGCATCATGTCCCCCGGTGAGCTTGTGGAAGAGCTCCTCATTCAGGGTGTCGCTGGGCTCTCTCAAACGTGTCGACATGAAGATGTAGCCACCAATGTACTCATGTACTATCTTGCAGTCTGCAGTTGTACAGCTGAAGGCAATGTTGATGTTCCCGTCAAACTCAATGGCTACCTGATACAGGAACATCCCAGAAAGAAAGCATTATTAAGCACGGTCAGATCTAGGGTATTATTTAAGATGGTTGAGAAACAACCAGATACCACAGCCAAATGTATCAGTGTAAACATGTCTATATATAGTGCTGTGTAAAAGTCTTAAGCACCTAAGAAAATTGTTTAAATCACATTTTTTTTAATTGTCTCAGAAGTAATTGTGTCTTTGCCACTGAAAACTCTATATAACATTTGAATAAATACAAATAAACACAGCAAAAAGTAACAATACATTTTTTTTGAGTAGTTGATGTAGTGGTTGAGTAGTTGTGAGCTGGTTAGGCCAGCACAGGTTTGGTTGCAGATTTCTTCTTGATGCCTCAGACTTTGCATTTATTTGTTAAATTCCATCACCATAAAGCTGCACTATGTAAGATTTGGGGATGTGGAGGCCCCTCTGGTCGAAATGTGTAATTGCACACAACATGTGGAGGAACATTTTGTAAGGCTGGTTGTGGTTCAGAGCCCTTCCCTAAATGGATAAATCTGTTTGTGAACATGTTTAAAGAGTATTCAAAGAGAACCAAGTCAGAACTTGGTGAAGGACATGTCTCTGGAGGATGTAAGTCAGTGGTGTGGAATCATATCCATTTGTTTAATCAGTTAGCCTCAGTCTTTAACAACTGATCATATCTGCTCTGTTTTATTGGAATGACAACTCACAAGCACACTGGCCTTTTTCGGGTAAGATTGGACAGCCTTGATGTAAGTAAATTTTTGCTATTTATCTTCATCACTGTAATGATGATTTTGCATTTGAGACATAAACATTGAGACATGTGACGTACTCTGAAAAACTCCCACGAAATCTGACCAGATGCCTCTGACTTTTAAATGACTATTTAAGGTTTTACAGCAGTACATGCACACTATATTTTGGTGTTTTTTCCTGACACGGTAATGCAAATTCTTTTCCTTTTTTCAATTTTAACAAATTAAATGTACAAAATGCAGCTTTAACTTAATAAAGTAATGCTTAGCTAAAACTGGTATTGAATGATAACTCTATTCTGGCACCCAGGTGTTGGAACGAACTTCCACTGGCTGTCCAAGCAGCAGAGTCCCTTGCTGTCTTTAAATGCAGACTGACCTCTTTGTAAGGCCCTTAAGTTAACACTAATCTAGCACTTCTTGAAATGTATTGCACATTTGCTTTTAATTCTGTAGTTTGCATCTTCCTTTCTAGGTTTCAGCACTGGCTTTTGTGTCTTAGCTCAAGGGTATATTGGACTCTAACCTATTTGTACTAGCTAGGATATGTTCTCTAAGTGGTCAACAAAGCACTGTTGTAAGTCGCAGATAGGAGCATCTACTGAATGTTGCAAATGTAAATGTAAAATGACTGTACGAGCCCATATAATCACTAAGTATTCTATTACTGTTATTTTGTATTTTTTCTAATATTAGTGTTTTCTGAGTAAATAAAAGCTTGCTGCCCAGATAAGTAGTCTTATGTGTAACTGTCTTGGGTGGCTAAGAATTTTGCACAGTACTGTCATTGTTCAAAACTTGATTACTAATATAATTGATATCTTTACTGTAGTCAGAGCACTTATGCAGTTTTACTTATGTCAAATAGACATTATTTAAATATATTTACATTGATATTTGCTGCTAACTCCTTTAGCTGTACATGCTGTATATATGCATGCTGTATATATACAGAGCATTTGTGTAGTCTATGATGTGTTTATTTTTTACTTGCTTGTGTATTTATTTATTTTATTGGATTTAATTTTATGTTGACACCTGCACCAAGAGAAATTCCTTGTATATCTGGTACTTGGCAAATAAAGATTCTGATTCTGACTGACAACCAAAGCCAATGATAAATTAACTGAATGTTTAATGGGGAAAGTTAATGACTAACCTGTCGTATGTCCCAGTTAACGTTCCACTGCCTCATGTTGTTGTAACGCCACGTCTTCACTACATCTCCCACTCCCAGGTCAATACGGATTAGGCGATTGTTGGCAATACCCAGAACCTCATCTTTACGGCTCCCCTTAAACCTGAAAACAGAGTCATGCTCATTCCTCACTGCAGCTTCAGTGACATTTCCCACTATGAAACATATATCAATCCTCCCGTTAAACTCTGTCGTACATCTACCACAGTGAATGAAAGTTAATGATTGTTGAACAAAACTGACTCCAGTCTCCACTAAAATGGTTCACTTTACCATAAAGACATACTGTGCATTGTCACTGTCCAAAGAAAAATGTGTCTCTCCTAAATGAAATCACACAATGTAAAGGGCAGCTGCAGTGCTCAAATAATGTAGAATAAAAATCTCAAAAAGTGGAGATGCAGTGTGCTAATACTTACATTTAAGGTTGCAATACATGAGAATGCCCTACCTGACCATGAAATAGGAAATGCCAAAGTCAGGAAGCGTTTGCCATATCTGGAGGAACTTTAAGATGGCCGCCGTAAGGGAGAGTTGAGCCACATTCTGATAGGCCTCCAGGATACGTGGAGTCAACTGGAAAGATTGTTAGACAGTTATTTGAGGAGAAGCATTCTAATACTGGATTAGAGAGCTTTTTAAGTTATTTTTTATTATTGTGTACCGAAAATCCTAAACTACTTCTAATGGGCATGTTGACCACTTTATAACCCTAAAGTTATTATTCAGTTACTAATCTTAAGATTTATTATTTAGTAACTACTATAAATTATTCAGTAGCCTAACTATAAAGGGTGTGATGATTCACAAAATGTATAATTTTATTCAATTCGATAAAGTGGTGTTTCGATGCAGTACTTTTTCCAATACAGCAAAAATAAAGGGTGGCTGAAAATGAGCCCTAATGTTAATGTTTCCAATTTTTATTTATTAGTGATTCAACATTATAAAAGTATGGCATTTCAAAGAAAAGCTTTATAGTACCCCAATCTAATGCTTTAGCCACAAGCTAATATGTTAGACCCATGCTAACACACTAGCCACAAGCTAACATACAATTCAATACAATACAATTCCATGTAATATGTAGTATTTTTACATCCTTAGTAATGACTATGTGAGTTATGTAGTTATGAAAGCAAGAAACTGAATTTAAGAGTTGGGATTTTAAGAGTTGTGTTTATGAGGTACCTTGTTTAATTAAAGTGCCCACATCCTGCATTTTTATTACATTTTATATTGTTCCACTTATCACATTTGTCTTGTTTTATGTACCAAAACTAGTCAAAATTAATTTTACAAGACCATATTCCAAACTCTCTTTACCCCATAGAACTAAACAAGCTGTTTTTGTTACAGTGCCTGTCCAGTATAAACTCTGTTCTGATTGGGTGCCTTTATTGTACATCATTTAGAAAGCAGTCCAGGCTGAAGCATTCGTTATAATTTGGACAGGAATGGCCAGAGCGAATAGGTGAATAGGTGAAAATAAGTAATTCTATGAATGAATTCAAAACAGACTGTTTCTCAGCTTAGTTTTGATATATGGACTGTATGGACCAGGGAATGAACGTAATGAAATTTTAAAATTGTTTACAAACCACTTCAAGCTCTTTTGTTTAAAAATGTTTTTTCATTATATAAGCCCTTTAAACAATAATACAAAAAACAATAATCAGAAGACCAGAAGAAGATACATCCTCTGTTATTGTGGTCTTGATGCAGCTGCACAGTACCTGCTTGACCTTGTATTTTTTGTTGTAGCGAGGTGAGACGAGGCTCTGCGTATTGATGCTCTCGTCAGTCTGTGGAGTGGAGGCAGATGAGTTGGAGCGCTGCATGGACAAAAACATCTGGATGTTCTTGACCTCAGTCCGGTAGGAGCTGTCCAGCAGGGTCAGGCCTTTAGAGGCCAGCTTACAGGCAGCCATCCATTCAGAATACTGCTTCTCCTGCAGAGAGGCAGTGAAGGAGGTTAACGGACAGGAAGTTGAAAGACTATACATCAATTTTTATAGAACATGTGCTGCTCTACATTTATCTTTATAGGTTTCAGCTTTATGCCACCCAATATGGCTTGTCAGTTCCTACCAGATAGAGCAGAAAAAATAAGCAGCATATTTTTTCTCTTTATCTGTCAAAATGTTGACTTAGTATCCCAAAATAATGACTTATTTTCTCAAGATATTGATTTAGAAATAATGACTTGTATTATCAAGATTTTCTTTTATTAATGATAAAACTCAGACATAGTATGCTGAAATATTGAGTTAATTAAATATCAAGAAAGTAAGTAACTATTTTGGGATATTAAGTCATTATTTTGACATAGCAATTAGAAAATTAGTAATAATTATTTTGAGAAACAAAGTCAAAATGTTGACATACTGCTGCTGGAAACAGTGAGTTTACATGGTTGCTATCATAAGAAAAACAAATAACTCAAAAACTTACTTTTTTACACCACATTGAGTCAACATATCACAATGAATGGACCAGTAGAATTTTTTGAAAAGCAAACTTTTTCGGGTTTTTAGTTACATTGTCAACTGAATCAGAAACTGTGCTTCATGCTATTGTCTGCTAAATAAAATGTGATTCCATAAACTACCACAATATGAAATGTCTATTCTGAGATATACTTTCTGTGTACTTTGTTTATACTAATACGCCCTGGTGGCTTAGCTGTAGTCTGTATAGTTACTTACATTCTCACATCGCAGGTAAACTTCATTCATGCCCTCTGGCACTGGGATCAGGAGTCTGATACAGAATTTTTGTCCTGCTATATTCACATCAGGAGTCACCTCACCACCTGCAGACGCACAGGCCAACAACATCAGAGAACATACAGACTTTGGAGTCAAAGCAATAGATTCTGACTGGTTGCAGAGGTCTCGGTCTATTATTTGGTAAAGTACATCCACTTGTGAAACATATTCCATGGAGTGACAAATCATGCTTCTCTATCCGACAGTCTGATGGACGAGCCTGACTGCATTGTGCCAAGTGTAAAGTTTGGTGGAGGAGGGATAATGGCATGGGGTTGTTTTTCAGGGGTTGGCCTAGACCCCTTAGTTCCAGTGAAGGAAATCTTAATGCTTCAGCAGACCAAGACATTTTGGGCAACTGTATGCTTCCAACTTTGTGGGAACAGTTTGGGGAAGGCCCTTTTCTGTTCCAGTATGACTGTGTCCCAGTGCCCAAAGCAAGGTCCGTAAAGGCATGGCTGGGTGAGTTTGGTGTGGAAGAACTTGACTGGGCCACACAGAGCCTTGACGTCAACCCCATCAAACACCTTTGGGATGCACTAGAACAGAGATTCCGAGCCAGGCTCTCTTGTCCAACATCAGTGTCTGACCTCACAAACGCTCTTCTGAATGAGGGCAAACATTCCCACAGACACACTTCAAAATCTTTTAGAAAGCTTCCCAGAAGAGTGGAAGCTGGTATAGCTGCAAAATCCAGACCAACTCCATATTAATGCCTATGGATTTAGAATGGGATGTCATAAAAGCTCCTGTAGGTGTCCCAAATACTTTTGTCTATATAATGTAGTGCAGCACCTTGAATATATTGTCTTCAATTGACCTGTCATAACTTGATAATGTTTAAAACTTGTTGTTTATTTGCCGGTTTAAATGAAAAAAAAACTCGGCACTGTATGTTCTAGGAGTACATGTGATTTTGTGCCACTTAAAACTTATAACATGAATGTAGCTTAAGATGCATTTTTTTAACTTTAATCAAATGCTCATTTTATATTGAAGTATATGAAAAAGGAAGGTTTATGCCTTGTTTGTGATCGAATCTGTCCAACATTAGTGCTCTACTTGTGGTGACCCTCAAAACCATTCTGTGATGAGTGAGTCAAAGTCATTTCTCATGTGTAAGCCTATTTTTGCAGAGACTTAAAAGAGCCTGACACTAGTAGATGCTGGTGCTTGCATTTAGCAGTGACAAATTAGTGATAAATTGTTTTATCTGATTCCCTCATAAAACATAAAATAAAGCTGTGGTTTAACCAAAAGCCGCTACTACATTTCTGAACCAGCTCACTTTAGTTTTGCAAGTACCAGTGCTACTGCTAACATAGGTTAGTTCAGGTGTTTGAATCTCCTGTAGATCAAGACAGGCGTTTAAATAAACTGCTGCATTCAACTCTGTCTTTCTGCTTTGGTTACAGCCGCAGTGACCACAGCTGTGAAAGTATTTTAACACCTTGCATAAGTCAAAGTCCACTTAAACTGGGAGTCCACTTAAACTGGGACATTTCTTTGTTTTTTAACACTTCAAAAAACACTTTAGCACAGTGCTTTCTAGATTAACGGTTTACATCACACTGACGTTTGGTATTAAATATATGTGTGTCAGCGAGTGTGTTTTTCTACCTTTCAGGTTCATTTGCTGGATGGGCTCTCCATAACTGTCCTCTTTGCTTTTGTAATAGAAGATAGACGTGTCCTGAAATTTGAACCAGTACTGTTTATAATCCCTCAGAGTTAGTCTTCTGGGCCTAAATGGTACAACAGAGAAATAAAAATAGAGACAGCATAAGTTTTTTTTTAAACTTTGTTTTAGTTCTCACCTCTCAGGAAAAGTAGGGGTTGATGCGGAACGGGGCTTACCGAAAGAGTTTCAAGTAGTCATTCAGTTCCGGAGCGGTCATGTTTTCCTGGAAAATCAACAAAAAAGCTGATGAAATGATCTGACAACTCCAAATACATTTCATCATTTTCTCAGTACTGCAGTTACACTAGCTGCTACTCAGTAATGTGTCAATAATGACCAGCCGCCCATTCCAGTTCTTGTTTTTAACATCCCCTCGCCAACTTGTTCTCTTCGTCATTTGTCCTCGGGCTAATCTTAAGGGCCACTCTACTTTAACTATTAGCTCAAGTGAGGGGCGTTAGATGAGGAAGTGAACACAACAGTCAACTTTGGCAGCAGAACTTGCCCAGATATCATTGCAACATGAAGCATTAACCTTTTCTGACCTGAAAAAAATGGTGGACAAAGCTGTTTACAAGCCATAGACAATAAAACACTTGCAAAAATATTTGCTAAACAATAACATTTGATTTGCTATGTGCACACTGGGATTTATGTAACAAACTACTCCAGCTGTTATATATGTATATATCTATTATATACACCAAGATTCTACACCAAAACCTAAGACAGACAAAGCAAGTATTCTGAAAATGTTTGTTATGTTCGAACTTTTCAAAAAAGTTTTGCTTTTATGACGTTTGTGTTGCTAGGCCAGCTCACTGAGGCTAACCCAGCCGAGGGATACCGCACTCTGATCAAAAAATCCACTCCTTGCACTCCCCCACTCTTGTATCACAATTGGCTATTGGGTAACATTGGGTGACATAACTTTCCAATGGTGAGTCGGTAAGTGTTGGTAAGGGCAAGTACTGGAACTCAGCCCAGAACTAACTAGCTGGATGTGACAGATACATTAAATTGCGAATTGTATATACATGCGTTTTCCTGTCTGTTGGTCAGCAGTGGTCCTATCCATTGATAGAAGGGGTAAAAACAGTGGTCACCCACCATGGTCCTGGAGATCTACCTTCCTGCAGAGTTTGCTTCTAACCACAATCTGTCAAACCTGTTCCAGCTAATTAACTTCTTCTCGACCGAGTCCTTGATTGGTGGATCAGCTGCATTAGCATACATGTAATTCTACAGGAAAGTAGATCTCCAGGAGGGGTGTTGATGACCACTGGAATAGAGGGTAGCTGACGTACTGTGTAGCAACATATACAAAGCAGCAAATATACAAAGTACAAAGCACTAATATGGTAAGTCTTTCTCATAAAATTGACAATAAGCATAAGAACAATGAAGCTTAGTGTATCATCAGCCAGTCAGGTAGCATTATATATGACCCTCACCAGCACATCTGTGCTGTTATTCTCTCCCACCATCTTGACCTCCAGAGACTTCAGGGCAGACTCCAGGTCCTCCATGCCCTGGCAGGAGCCCACTTCCTGCGACAGAGACAGCTTGCCTATGTGATACTGAGAGAGGAAGAGAGAGGAGGAGAAGGATTACTCTTCTTATTTTTCTTCTTCTGATTTTGGTTTGAGACTATAAACAGGACTGTGCAAAACTTTTTCGGGCCATATACAAAAAAATATATAACATATGAGTAAATGACATAAATTCATTAAAAATAACAACATTTTTGTTGTTTTTTAGTAAAATGTGTTAATATCTTGGTCAGAAGAATACAGTTAGAAGAACTCAGGTTTGGTTCCTGAGTCTTGCTGCATTCCAACCAACTATGGCATAACAACTATGTACCTATCTGCCATGAATGTGTTTTTAAAAATGTTTTAGGCCAAAATCCTATGTGAAAACTGTCTGATAGATGTCTGAACAGTGTTACAGTCATCAACGACTATAGTTATAACTATTCTCTGTAAAAGCTTTCTGTGAGGTAGCCATTAGAGGCATTAAATGCTTCAGATGTCTGGTTCCTATTACCACCACTGTGAATCTGACTCAGAGAGATTCTCTAGAAAGAATATTTCACATCAAACCACTCTGAATGACTGTGTTTACATCTAAATGGTTTAAGTATGCAGTAATTTTGAAAAATTGGTGGAATGCCCCTTTAAAACAAAAGGGGACAAAAGAAAGTACTATGAATTTCTGGAAATATTTCAAAGATTCTACAAGATTCTACAAGATATAATTTATCATGAAAAACTTCATGTTCAATTAGAAAGGAATGTTACAAATAAGCAAACAAACATTGCATAGATAACTGCATTACTGTACAGATAAATAGATTTACATGTCGTTTTCTTAGATGCCTAAAATGTTTGCACAGAACTGTTTGCAAAGGTGGAACTTGTGGCTTTTAGGATGACTGCTACACTGAAAAATGGAACACAGTAGAGGTTGATTTTCAAACGTTTGTAAGATTTTGAATTGATAAAAATATTGCTATTATTCATCTGAAGTGCTATTTTGATCAAAGAATTTATTTGACTTGAATAAAACCAATTAAACTGCCTGTTACTACATTTTAGTTTGTAGTGCAAAAAAATGAACTGTGCATAAAAGTGGCTTATAAATGCCTCACAACTGAAATAGATCTTGAACTTTCTCACAAAGGGAAGAAAAAGGAACAGAAAGAAGAATCACTAAAAAGTATCAGTATTACACACTGTTTCACTTTGGGAATGCAGTTTTAGCAACACTGTGGGTGTTTTGCTTAAATGACATACTATAGTACATCAGTAAAGCTATGTATAGTTACAATATTACTAATGTCCTGAGCAGGAAATTTTTAAAAAAAGTGATGCACTGAATTTGCTTGTACCAAATGTATAAATACATAAAATACTCAACGCCCCTTTTGTCTTTCAGTTTGCTTAATTTTAGCAATAACTGCGTAATTGTGATAGATGTTTTTTGTACAAATTCTAATCAAGCAAATTCAATGCATTAACTTTTTTTAGCGTACAAACATTAGCTTGGGTTTACCCACAGAAAGTATGATATATGTTACGTGTTTCTGCTCTGAAGTGGGTGCAGTCTCTTTGTGGTTTCAAGGTCTTTTTCTGCAGCAACAGACTTGGCCTGTGTTTCCTGATGAGGACTGTAATGAAGAGCAGGTGGGAAGCTTTCTGTGGTTCAGTTATAATATACCTGCAGGGCTCCGAACAGCATCATCTCCTCTTCAGTGCAGTCGTTGTCCTCCAGCAGGATAGCCCAGCGTGCCTGCTCATATAGCTGGGTCAAACGCACTGCATCGTACTGAGGGGGAAGCCAGGAAGAGACCAAGATTTACTATTATGATTCACAGCTCCCACAAAACACAGCTCCAGAGTGGTGCAGTCCCCCCCAAAAAAAAGTGATTTAAATCAGCCCATCACACACAGCACAAGGTCTACATATAGACAGCGTGTGTTTTATATATATATATATATATATATATATATATATATATATATATATATATATATATATCGTTGTTGTCGGATCAAAACCTCTCCAAAATGACAACTACAGGAGAAGGAAAAAACATACTCTACTTTTAATGTACGTCAGTGGAACCAGACTTCTTTCCAAGTAATTTTGGGTCATTTTTGTTGGTCCACTCATCATCATTCATCATCATTCATCAGTTTACACACAATGTAAAGGACAACGAGTACTTTCAAATTATGTCAAAAAGTGAAAAACGGCAAAAATGGAGATACAAGGTTTTGTTCCGACAGCAGCGATACACATATATATAGGTAGATATATCTGTAGATACATATATATATATACACAGCAGTCTGTGATTATAGCACTACATTTATTGTACACTTTACATATATAAAATGTACAATAAATGTAGTGCCTAAATCACAGACTGCCGTCCATCTGTTCCTCTGCATACTTTGTTAGCTCCTTTTTTGAGCCTGTTATTCAAAGACTGTCACTGCAGTGACACTAACGTGGTGGTGACATGTTAGTGTGTGTTGTGCTGGTACAAGCAGACCTCAGTGTTACTGCTGGACTGAGAATAGTCCACCAACCAAAAATATCCAGCCCACAACACCCTGACGGCAGCATCTTTTGACCACTGATGAAGGACTAGAGGATGACCAACACAAACTGTATAGCAACAGATGAGCTATCGTCTCTGACTTTATATCTACAAGTTAGACCAACAAGGTGTCAGTGTCTAACAGAGTGGACAGTGAGTGGACACAGTGTGTATACCAGTGCAAAACTCACTAACACACTACCAACACCACGTGAAGGGCACCTATATGGTAAGTGGAACTAATAAAATGGACAAAGAGTGTAGAAACAAGGAGGTGTAGCGGCCGGCGTCTGAATTTGTAGGTTTTTATAAAATGTACCATTTCACATCAGACCACTCTGAATGACTTTGTTTATATATCAATGATTGAATTATGCAGAAATAATGAACTGGTGGAAGTGGCTAGTGCAAGAGGAGGACACACACACTTCACAGAGAGGTCCTCACAAACACAGATTTACACACCTTAGGCTCCACATCATGGAAGGTGTAGTATTTGAAGCGAAGCCACAGCTTGTCGTTTTCCTGTATTCCCTGCTGCATAAGAGAGCGTGATGAATCCAGCCACCTGTTACAAGAGACAGTTGAAAAATCAAACAGGATTGTTGTTGTTAAACTTTATTATAACTTAGACATATAACTTAGATTATTAATGATATTTTCCATTAACCCTCCCAAATTAATCAAACTGCATTGTCGACATGAATGCAAGCTGAAGCAGAGGGCAATTGCACAAGTAAAAACACACCTTGCACACAATGACTGGTGCCAAAAAAGAGTCTGTCTGCATGCAGCAGCACTTAGTGAAGCAGGTAGTCAAACAGCTAACTTTTATTTGTATCAACATTATGTGATTATTATCAGTCTACACTGCAAAGAATCCAGACATTTGAACACCCCTGGTATAATAAAATGTTTTGTTGATTTTCTAAGTGAAAATAAGTTAACACGTTCTCTACAGGGAACAAACGTAAATATTTTTCTAATACTATTAATGCACAATTTCTATTTATATGCTGAGTTTAACACATTGGAAAAACCATACAAAATAAAATGTGCCATAACTTTTGCACACATCACATTGTTTTCTTTAAACTTAACAAATAAAACAGTGATTGTGCATTAAAATGTGCCAACTTTTGAATACTACTGTATGTAATTCCTGTAAATAATTTTGTTTGTTTGTGTTTTAAAATTGCCATTCAAAGCATTAGACATCATGATATACGGTAACTCGGTGTACTTTGTTTACCTAGATTTATGTATGAAGCCTGCAACTATTATTTTTTAGCTATACCTGGTGTGGATGTGTGTTTTGTCCACTTTGCTGGCTGGTCGGTACAGTTTAGCAATGCTCTCAGGAGAAGGAGAAGGCTGGGAGACAGATAGCATCCTATAGACGGCCTCAGTTTTAGGGGAGTCTGCAAAATGAGCTGGCATGCCGTCGTACAGAGCTGGAACGGACACTGGAGCCAAAGAAAAGTTTGGGTTTAGTTAATTTCTTTATTTCTTCCTCCTTTCTTTCCTTCCTTCCTTCCTTCCTTTCTTTTTAACCCGTACGATCGGTTTATTTTGGGGACAACATACAGGGACTGCATGTTTCAGCAGTGTTATAACAGAAGCAATACCTGAGGTCAGTGGCACATTTGTGAGGTCATACTCGTCCTCTGCAGAATTTTTGTCTTTCTTTTTCTTTTTCTCCTCTACGGGCCGCAGGAGAGACAGTTCCTCAGGATGACGGATGTCTGACAGAACATAGATTAAGAAACAAGGAGACAGATGAGAAGAGAGAATAATATATTTAATGCAGATGTATAAGTTAGAATGTATAAATTAATTTTGTATGTAAAACAACAACAATTTTTAACAAGACAAGTGATTCCAAACTTTTGAACAGTAGCGTAAGTGTCGTTGACACACACTCACTCAGGACCCTGCAGATGCCCTGTACGGTGCGGAACACGGGGCTGGAGAAGCAGGCGCGGAGCCTCAGGATGACCCCATTAGGAAGGCCCAGACGCAGGGGCTTGTGCTGGGTGGAGAAGATGAGGCGAGCATCTGCGTGGACCCCACATTTATCCAGCGTCCAGGAGGTCCGCAAAAGCCACTGCTGCTTCTGCTCCCACCAAAGAGCATGATCTGACCAGTCCTGCTGCATCCCTGAACACAAGCCCTTCCTCATTAAACAGATCAATTAGTATTTATAGTCTCATTTCATTTTGAAGGTTCCCTATAGCTTACCTACAAATGCTCAGATTGTTAACATATAATCTATTGAACCCTTTAACCTTGAACTATGTTAGTGAAATTCCACTGTTTTTTAATTTCTGCAAATTTAATTGTAAAGATGTAAAAGTTATTCAGAGTGGTTTGATGAGTAATGCTTCTTTCTAGAGAAACTTGTCAAATTTGTTCGCAGTGTTTATGAATATACTGCCTGATGCCTGAGATATTGTTTTATGGTAGTTTTGAGGTTTAGATCCACTCATGGTGGAGGGGAACATGCAGGGTGTCATAAGGCAAAATATAAAAAAAGGTACCAAAAGAAAACATATTTTGAGATTTGTTATTTGTTATTTGTTATTTTACATTTATCAGCTTTACATCTAAAAACTCACCTATAAGTGTAGGTTCCCTGGTAGTTTTTGATAGTAAATAAAATGGATATATTTGCAGTGTAGACATTGTGGCCCTTGCTTCCTACCACCACCAGAAATGCAGGTCAGTAAGTTTCTCCACAATTGACCATTTCACATTACAACACTATGAATGGCTTTGTTTACATCTCAACAGTTGAATTATACAGCAATTTTGAAAAATCGCCTGAAGTCCCCATTAAGGGTTAAAGGGTAAGTTTATGGGTTGAAGTTAGGGTTAGAGTGTTTGTTAGGTTTGGTGTAAAATATGAAGGTGAATTTAATACATACAGTCAAACATCAGTTAAAGACAAGAAGCTGGGCACTTACAAAGCAGCAGTGGGCTGTCAAACTAACCTGTTATTAGTTTTGATTACTACATGTGAAGGAAAACAACTTGACGACTTTCAATTTTTAGATATCTTAAACATGTTCAGATGTCACCTATGACAATGACACTGAAGTAAGCAATTTCACAAAGTGTAGTATTATTTTAACATAGTTTGTTTGGACCTGCAGGCTGGGATATAACTCACCTGTCTTCTCCACAACCTTTAAAATGACTCCACCTATGTGGAGGTCAGAGGTGACGCTGATTTTGATGGGTGGGGCATCAGGTCCCAAGTCCTCCACTGTGACTGACAGATCCCACGCTGCCATCCTGTTTAAACAAGGAAAAGGAGAGGAACTCTGAGAAACAGCAGAGGAAACCAGAAACGACTACAAAATGTAGCAACGTCTCACGATTGCTAATCCATAGAAATCTGTGTGAAAAGCATTTGGTAGAGTTTGGATGAGTTAAATAGAGAGTTTAAACAGAAATGGTTGCTGAGAATCCATAGGATGTTCAGTGATCAGTGCGTTCTGTCTCAAGCTATTGGCATGGAAATATTAAAGTGGTAGTTTAGTGAAAACTCATATTTATGTCATTTTCCCCCATGAACAAGTCTATATGTACAGACAGAATTCAGGTCTTTGTATGACTGTTACTACTGTTTTCATGTTGCTATTTCATTTACTTTTTGACTACTTTATTAATAACAGTGTTTTATACAGTGTAGGAAACCACATAAACAAGTCTATTTGAGCTTCCTTATTAACACGGCATGGTTTCATAGAGTGTGTGATGATTTAGGCATGATGATACTTCAGGGATATTAGTTTCTGTTATTTGTGAGCTACATTAGCCTTGTAGCTCCAGTGCAAAACTAGGTTTATGTGGTTAGGTAAACTGAAATGACAGACTGCATTTGGGGTAAGATGAAAACTGTGTAAAGTTGTTTTTTAGCCAGGCTAAGGCGTGCTCTTGGCCTCTGTTTGCTCAACTTGCTATTAGTGGTATAAGCGGTCAGTTAGGGCCCTAAGCCACAAGGGGCCCCCTGAGTATTTACAGTACAGTGCAGAAGTCAAACACCAGCCTTCATTAATTAAATTTCTACAGAGCCCCGCTGATGACTTCCTGTAAAAATAAAAATAATGCCACGACTTAGAAAGGCACGGGAATGAGATCCTAATGTGTGGCCACGACTTAGTACGATGGGAATGGGAATGGGAATGAGATAATTAAGTTGTGGCCACAGCTTCATAAGGCATGATCTCGTTCTCACGCCTTACTGAGTCGTGGCCACGATTTAATTATCTCATTAATCTCGTGTTAATAAGGTGTGACCACGCATTATTTTTATTTATATAGGATGTCACCAGCAGGGCTCCGTAAATTAAACTTTTAAACTATATGGTGTAGGCCTAGTTGTTTATATAATTGACTTCATTCATTCCATTGGGCTCTGAAAATTCTTTGAAAAGGACGCCAAGAATGGACTTCTCTGCTGCCATAGCTCAACTCTTACATAACACAACAGAGAGTATTTCCATTTAAATAAACGTTTTGCAGAAAATGCAACCAACTTCTAAGACTGAACTTTGGAGATGTGTCAAAATATCCCTGCAGATTTCTTTGAAAAACTGAAAGCAAGTGTCCTGAAAAAAATAGAAGCTCTAATAAAGGCAAAGAGTGACACAGTAAATACAAAAACGCTGTGCAATTTTATGTTAAATATGTTTTCTGCTTTTTCCTGACACTGAAAAATGAATAATTTAATGGCTGTTTTGACTCGACATTACATAAATTAAGGGTGGACTCTTGTACAGTACTGCAGTTTTTCTTCTTTGTCTTCTTCTTTTTAATTTCCCAGTCATGATATTGGCAGAAAAAAACTACTATAAAGTCATCACTGATTATCACTGACAAACAAGCATTGTGATTTATTTTATTTGTAATTATTTATTTTGTTTATATTACATATTTATGTGATTTATATACACAGTGTAGATTTCATAGTCATTTTGTTCACCTTGTATGTACAAAATTATTGATTTTATTGTGTTTATTGTTGCATGTATTAGACTTTTTCCTGATCAACATGAAGAATTCATCCTGTTTCATTCTTACGTTAAAGTTAAACGTTGGTCAGGCCTTCAAATGTTCAGAAACGGCCCTGTTGCTCAACATATGCTTGTTTTTTTTAAAAAAATGATGAGAGGTTTGTCTATCACATGCTAACCATGAGTGTGCTAATACTGACACAGACACACCATCACCACCCTCGTCCTCCCTGCGCGTATGACAGCGCTATTCTGAGGCTTGTCATATTCACAGTGACAAACGCTTCCCATTTTTGCCCAATCACACACAACCATGTTTCCTCTTTCTGTTTAACATCAACAGCTCCTCTAAACCTTACACACATGAGTGTATGTGTGTACCTGCAAGTATATGCTTGTGTGACCCATTAACTGTATTTTTCCGTTATCTACATGACATGTCACAGTCATACTATATAGAACATTAAGTATCTATTTCAGAAATAATACACTTACTGTAATAAAGCATGCTTGGACATTTATATCCAGAGAGGACACTGGCTTTTGTATATGTTGCATTTACATGTCCACAGTTTCTAGCACTAAAAGAATGGAAGAAGCAGGCCTACTTTTTTAACTACAGCATTCTCTCCTGCCATTGTTGAAACCATGTTTTACACATAATCTACAGCTTTATGGATTAGTTTGATCAAAAAAGACTTCTTTAATTAAAGAGAAAAATAAAATAGCCACTTTTACTTTGAATGGAAAACTAATGACTTGAGCATATTTATGATTAACATATCAATGCTGTTATTCCTTATATCTGAACACGTTACAAATTGAATATGTTTATATTTGTAAGTATTCATATTTTGTTATTATTACTAATTTTTCGTGATATTTTATTACTCAAACATAATTCACAACAAAAGCTTAATAATTCCAGTTGTTTATTCTTGATAAAGATATCAAATAAATATGACAGTGCATCTCAGTATATCACAGTAAATCATTCATGGGTTATCCTTCAGTCAGAAAAATAAAAATATGAACACAGAAAACACATAATTACCTTTCCTGTGTTTGAATGTGTGCACTACCAGATGGTGTCCTCGCCGTCTCTGAGTGTCATCAACTTCACCCTACTCCCTCTCCCTCTGACTCGCTTCAACCCAAGGTGTGGTTTTGCTGCATGTAGGCGCAATTGTGTGAAAAAAGGGTGTTTCTTATTTCTCAGCTTCCGCATAACGGAACAGTGTGTGACCACAGTTTCGCTGGGTGTGTGCTCATATGAGGGGGTATCAGCCATAAAAAGAACTGTATACCTCAGGCAAACAAGGTTTTTCCCATACTTGAGTATGAAATAGGAAATAATTTCATAGGAAACTGGCCTTGATTTCAAAATAGGGAATAATTCCACCAGATATTGCCCACGTCTGATTTTAAAAAAGGAAATAAATTCATTTATAAATTGCCTACATCTGAAATAATTTCATAGGAAACTGGCCATATCTGATTTTTAAATAGAAAATAATTTCATAGGCCACACTTTAATGTATTATGAGTGTAGTCAGTTTATTATCATTGCAAAAATGATACTGACATGCCAGTTCTGTCATCCACTTTAAAATAACCTGTTGCAACCTTTTGCAACCAATGGCCACCTTAAAGGAGCACTCTGAACAAAGAAATGTTACCATTACTACATCTACACTGGTGCCTTAATAGTCTCTAGAGTGAGATTTTCCAGTTTAAAGACTAGAAAAACCTCCATCTGATGATGTACCTTGAAGGTAGGAAGAACTCTCAAGAAACTACAACTGGTTTTTATGCTATGCAGAAGGGAGCCAGATAGCTAATGTTACAGCTATGAAGCCAAATATCACGTTTATATGACAATTGGCTGCTACATCAGTGGCTATGCTAACAGATACTGATCACTGTCGCAGATTCCCAACGCTTTATAAACGGGCTCTGCCAACGCTTATATGACGTATTTACGTAATGCATTTTGGGTATTGTAGTGAAAGACCGCTATGGAAGAGACCACAAAAAAGTATTCAAATTTTTTAATTCTATTAAACTGAAGAAGCTGGGGGATGCAATGCGTCAGTGGGCAAACACAGAGTGGACATGTAATTTGGAGTGAGGTGCTGAGCTAACAAGGCCCTACCTAAGGGTTATAGAAGATACAGGAGTTATTGTTAATTACCAATAACGAGTTATGTGTAATTAGACAAAACTCTGACGAATGTGCTATGTGTTCTTCATGATTATTCGTTGTAGAAACTCTAAAACCAAGCACTAAGCATAGTGGACCCAATGTGTTGACCACGAGAGGGCAGTGTAGGATAATGCGCCACCCTAAAGTCTCTGGGAAAGTCCATTGTGAAGCGCTCATCAGCGGACCCCTATTTTAATGGTACGGTCCGTTTCACAATCACCGCGCGAGGATCGATACACTTTCGATTTCTCAGCTTTTGAACGTTAACGTTCATGTTTTACGTGGTCGTTTTTGGGTTGGTCTAAAAACGCAAGTGCCTGAAATTGAGAGTTTACAGTTTGCTAGCTAGACCCGGCTAAAATACTCTGAATTTTGGTCCGGTGTAAAGCTGGTAAAGCTGTCAGCAGGAGCGTTAGCTAAGTTATGGCGTTTCGACTGTCCAAACTTGCAGCTCGTATTACACTCTCAAAACACTTTGTGCTGATTACGGAAAATAACTTTACACGCAGTCTAAAATTCAACAAATTTGCAAGTTGTTGGCCAGTTTGTTCGTTTCACACAGTGGTTCGCAGTGGCGAAGGGTCGCTAAATATCACCAGAGCATTGAATTCCTCTCAGCGAGTTATAAATACTGTCAGGCGGGTGGAGAAGTTTTCAGCCACCTCTACCGCCTCAAAGTCATTCGAGTGGCCGAGTCTCAAGGCCCTGAAGCGCGGTGGAAAATTCTCCCATCCGGCTGTGGTCCTCTTCGGCCTTTCTGCCGCTGTCGTTGCCTCCTGTGTCCACTCCAGTGCCCTGTATGCCATGGCCGCCCAGACAGGTGTGGAAATTCCGTTGGACTTAGACTCGGAGGACACTGACTGGGAGAAAGCGAAAAGTGAGTTGTACTGCTGTAACTCTGATATAGTGAGTTTATTAAAGAGACAAGAAACACAAAACTCTACACTCTTTAAAATAGATGGTCGTTCAGAAGCGTTCTTTAGTAAACGGAATGGTTCTGTTTAGAACCATGAGTTCTATATAGATCTTTTCATTCTCATAGATAAAAAACTAAACCTTTATTTAAGATAGAATGGTTGAAAAAAAAAACCTCAATCTTGTCATGAAATAAATATCACTCTTCAATCTTTGTATGCCACAATTGTTGGCACCTCTAGAAACTCTTAAGAGTGAAATCTAAGTATATTCCCCTTCATATTTAATGTTTTAAAGTTCACCTGAGCAATTAGAAACACTTAAATGGTCAGCCATGACTTACTGTTTCAATAGGGAATATATTGCCACTGTCAGAAATAAAACCTCATATCTCTGTTTTTTGTTGTTGTTTAGTTTTTGACATCATTTCAAAGTACTTGTTGCCCTTTACATTCTATGTAAATTGACAGCAGTGATGAGATGAAACACAGGCCACATTCCCTTAGTTATCGATCGTTATGAGAAAGACCAGAGAAAATAGCAATGACTTGTATCTTAACAGTTGAAAATGCCAATTTTCACAGTCAGGTCAGTAATTAAGAAGAATCTGGAGATGTCACTAATCTGGCAGGAAGAGGATGCATACTTATACCGGCCCCACACACAGTGAGAAGGATGATTCAAGTGGTAAAGTCTTGGGGTCAGAACGTCTCCCAAATGACAATTAAACACTACCTGCGTAACCACAAGTTGTTTGGGACGTTAGCCAGAAGAAAGTCTTTGCTGTCAAGGACCAATAAAGTCAAGCACCTACAGTTTGTACCAGCAGATATTAAATCGAAACCTGACTGCCGCAGCCATGGGGCTTAAACTGGGCCGTAGTTTGAATCTTCCAGCAGGACGATGATTCAAAGCACACCTCAAAATCAACACGAAACAGAATCAAGTTTTTGCCATGACCGTCCTAGTCCTCTGACCAAAACCCCATAGAAAACCTGTGAGATGAGCTGAGGAGGAGAGTCCACAAGCGTGGGCTTTGGAGCCTGAAGGATCCGGAGAGGCTCTGTTTGGAGAATGGTCTCAGATCACTTGCCATGTGTTTTCCAGTCTCATTAAGCATTATAGGGGAAGACTTGGAGCTGTTGTCTTTGCAAAGGGAGGCTGTACAAAGTATTAAATGAAGGGGTGCCAACAATTGTGACACATAAATGTGAGAAAAATGTATTTCATGGTAACATTTAGGTTTTTTCTTTCAATCATTGTACTTCAAATAAAGGTTAGATTTTTGTTAATATTATGAATGAAAGATCAAAAAGATAAACAATAACGAATGTTCTTTACACCCTGCTTTGCTCATGTTTACCAGGAGTGCCAGTATTTGTGGAGGGCACTGTAGAACCATATGCAACACATTCTCCATTAATCTGAAGAACTATTTAAGCATGAAATGGTTCTAAACAGAACCATTCGCTTTACTAAAGAACCCCTGATGAACCATCTTTTTAAGAATGTAGTTTAACTGTAAACATGTTTGTACTCTTCTGTTTCTTTGTTTAAAGTTTAAGGATTTCAAATATATAAAATCATTTTTCTTACTGTGTATGTGATTTTGTAATTTTCCTGCAATCTTTTGAATGATAGTATTGTCATAGGTTTCAAATCACTGATAGGATGCTGTAAAAATAAGTATTTTAGCTGTGTCCAAAATTATTTAAAAAGGCTTAAGGTTATTCCAAGATGTACTCAATATAACATTATGTTTGAAAGTTTAATAAAATGAATATACAGAATGCCTCGTGCAAAGCAGCAGTCAAATCTCCAGACAGATAACTTGACAAATTATTATAAATGAATAATAACAGGATTATTTTTTGTATTATTACTTTTCATGTTCCTGCTGTTCCCCTAAAACCTTCATATTGATGTAAAATGTAATTTTTTTGTATTATAATATGGCACCAGTTATATATTTTAGCCTGTTTTGTGTAAGTCATTATTGAACAACTTCTGGTTATACTATTAATATATAATAGTATTATCCTATTTTAGTTATTTTTTAGAATATTGACATGATACGTTGTTTTTGAAATGTAGTGTACATATCCATTGTGTTTTGTTAAAGTAATTTGTAATATTAAGTATGACAACAGCTCTTTTGCTGGACAAACCATGCTATTTACACTTCTAGTAGGTTTAAAAATGGCAGATGGTAAATTAAACTGGTAGCTCTAAGTATAACTAGACACAGAACTAATTAGGCTGCAGATTTCTGGATCAAGAGTCCTGTAGTGCCTGTGGCACTGCAGAGTTTTATAGTTTTACTTCACCATACTCAGTTCAGCTTCTGAAGGGCTTGTTAAATCACTAAACCCTGTAGTGCTATGCTCCTGAGGGAGGAGTTTGACTTATTTGAAATTAGTGTCCTGAGGTTATTATAGTGGCTGTAGAAAAGGATCATACTACCCTTAGGAGTCATTGATTAGTTGAATGAGGTTTTACATTTAGGTTGGACGTGAAACCTGCAGGAAGGTAGATCTACAGGGGCAGGGTTGGTGACAACCAGTGTACATGGTTTGGGTTATATTCATATTATATCCCTTTGCTCTATCAGACTGGCTTCTGTCTATGAGCCTGGAGGACAGGAGAGAGAAGTATAAGACTGCCCACATCTCCTTGGACAATGTTCCTGTTTGGAAGCATTCAGGTGAGACTCAAACCCTTGTTTTCCACAAGATTCTACAACCTAATTTCCAAGAAAGTTGGGATGCTATGCAAAATGTAAATAAAACAGAATGTGATGATGTTCAGTCTTTCACAAAGTGGTGAACCCCTCATCATCTTTACTTCTGAAAGACTCAGCCTGTCAAATAACAATAAAATTTCTCCGTTTTAACATTTGATATGTTGTCTTCGTACTATTTTCAATTACATATAGGGTTTGAATGATTTGCACAACATTGCATTCTGTTTTTATTTACATTTTTGTCCAACCTTTTTGGAAACAGGTTTGCATTAATGTAGAAAACTAAGAGACAAGTATATAAACAGGCGGGGTAAAGGAGGATGTTATAAGGAATAGCTGTTAAAGCCTGTATTCATGAAGCTTTTCGGAGTTGGAGTGCTGACCTAGAATCAGATTCCTCTTTTATTGTCTTACCTTACTAAAAAGAACAAATCATAGATCAGTGCTCCTACCTAGAAATACCAGCCTTGGGCTCATTCTTGTATGACAGCACTGGGGAATGTTCCAGCTGTGAGGACAAAGTGAGCTGGATCTGGTCCCTTAAACATATTTTCCCAGTCAACTCTGTGCAGTGATAACCATAATATTTTGATTTTCAATGTTTCACATTCATTTCTGTATTTACTAACTCTGCTTAGGTTCTGTCTTCTGTTGCTATTTAAATAATTGTAGAGTGAATTACTCGAGTCTCGCTACAAACATTTCAGTATACAAATGACCTTGACATACCATGCATATGAGAAATTAAAAGGCTTTGGCGTTGGTGGTATGGGACCCCATTTACTC